AATGAATGCAACACCATTCCTCTTCAATTTGTCATTTCAGGCATAGTAAACCATGTGGTTGCCAGATTCAAAATGGCCAATACCAGTCCATTTCAGCTCACTAATGCCTAAGATATCGATGTTTATGCGTTGCATTTCATTTTTGACAACTTACAATTTTCCCAGATTCATAGTTGGTTCATTCCATGTTCTGATTTTCTATGGATGTTTATAGTTTCTCTTCATTTTGAGTCATGCCCCATCAGCAAATGAAGGTCCCGCAGGCTTTTCTCCCACAGGCTTTACTCCATTTGCGTCGTCATGGTCAACTCTACTTTGAGGAAGCAGCTCTTCCCCAATCGCATTTTGAGTGCCCTCCAACCTGAGGGGCTCAGTTTCCAGCACTATACATGATAGTCTTTCTCTACTATTCATAAGGTTATCAGTGACTAAATATTCGGAACTAGTTTGTCACTCCTTCTTCCTAGTCTGTCTTTGTCTGGAAGCTCATCTGAAACCTGTCCACCATAGGTAACCCTGTTGATATTTAAAATACCGGTGGCATAGCTTCCAGAATCACAGCAACTCACGAGCCACCACAGTATGACAAACTGACAGATGAGTGGTGGGGTCTTCCTTATAGGTATATGAATAATATCCTATTACAGACAGCGTTATACTTTAAGATAGATATTGAGATGTTCTTTTTGAGATGAATGTGACGTCATTCCTCTTCATTTTTTCATTCCTGGCATAATAAATCATGTGATTGTCATATTCCAAATGCCAATACCATTCCAATTTAGTTCACTAATGTCTAAGTGTTGCACTGTAGGGACAGCACTGGACTGTAAACTACCAGGTCGGCAATTCAAACCCAGCAGTTGTTACTTGGAAACCCTATACAGGGTCATTATGAGTCAGAATCAACTTGATAGCACTTAACAATAATAACAATGCCTAGGATACCAATCTTTATTCATTCTAGTTCATTTTTGACAACTTCCAATTGTCCTAGATTTGTACTTCATATATATCATATTCAGATTATTAATGAATGTTTTGAGTTGTTAATTTTCATTTTGAGTTGTGCCCCATCAGCAAATGAAGTTCCTCAAAGCTGTACTCTATTCGCATCATCATGATCAACTCTACTTTGAATAAGCAGCTCTTCTGCAGTCATATTTTGAGTGCCTTCCAACCTTGGGGGCCCGTTTTCCCTCACTATATATGACAATATTCTCGTGTTCTTCATCATATTTCAATATTCAATATTCTGGTGCTGACACTGTTCTGCTGCTATTAACAAGGTTTTCAGTGACTAAATATTCAGAAGTAGTCTGCCTCTCCTTCTTCCTAGTCTGTCTTAATTCTGGAAGCTCAGTTGAAACCTGTCCACTATAGATGACCCCACTGGTATTTACAATACTGACCCCATAGCTTCCACAGTCATGGCGACATTGCACAAGTCACCACAATACGAAAATATGACAGATGAGTGGTGGCGCATCATTCCAGCAACATATACAATTTTATAACACAGCCTGTAAGCTTATAAACAGTCATACCCTTAGAAACCAAGTTTCTTCTATAAATTTTGTTTTAACTTATCATGTGGGAAAGACCTGAAAATTTAGGATTCCTCCAAAATTCTTTCTTGATTGAACTATTTTCATCTTTATATAAAACTCACAATACATTTAAAATGCGCTATTATAAAACTATAATAATGGTATTATATTTTTATGGTTAATCAAACTTTTGTTCATCATACTAATAATAACAATCACTGATACTTTACTAATAGCAATAAGAAAAGCAAAACTGAAACAATGTGTTATGTCCGCATAACCCATAAAATAGTGAAATACCTTCCCATTATTCTTCACCAATAACTCTATGGTTTAAAAAGTATTTACTCATCTTATATGTTAGCATCCTTAATGTTTAAACATGAGAAAACATTCCATTTTTAAGAGTAGAGATTTATGGCATAACGGTGATTGTCATAAACCATAGAAACATTTTACTTCCAGAAAGCAAATTTCCAAACTCTCTCCCCACAATATTGTTTTTAGTAATTCAGTGCAGAATGTGTTTACAATTTCATATTTCATTATACTTTGAAATGTGCAAATATCACTTCTAGTCTAGTGAGCTTAAATTTGCTAGGTGTGTTTATTAGCTCAGTATGTTGATTTGCATGCCTCTTCTGAGTTGTCACCATCATTATGTCTTCCTAGAGCACTACTTCTCTGCATGAGGCTGTATGCCTCTTTCCTGGTCATCTCTGTGCAAGCTGAGTCAGACAGCAAAATGAGCAATGACTGACAATGCTGCATAATTCACTGGTCGACCTGTGATCTTTATGGATTTTGAAATGTTTAGAATGTGCAAGAGTGGTCAATACATATATTGCAAAGATATTTAAAATATTTTCAATATCTATTCCTTGGACTGATACTTTCACATTCAACATAGTTGCAATTTAAAAAATTTAGCTATTATCATTATTTTATTTTATTTATAGTCAGACATTGCACGCTGCTGTATAAAACCCAATCCTATTTGCTTGTCTCATAACTTGAAACTTAAATTTTATTATAACTACCAGTTTGCCATAAAGAAGATTCTTTTATATGAGTCTTTACCAACATATTTATTTTTCCCTGCAAAGTGAATGTTGGTGTTGTTAAGTGTCCTTAATTCTATTCCAGACTCATATCAACCCTGTTTAGGGTTTCTGAGGAGCAGCTGATGGAGAGCAAATAGCGCATGGAAACACGATTTGTTAAGTAAAAGGAAAAAACATGTCATGTTTATAAAACTTATAATGAACATAGTTATCTTTGTTAAATATTAAATAAATAATATCAGAGGATAATAAATGAAAAGATTATTACTTTAAATTCATTATAAAGAATTTCCATCACATTATAATGGCATTCTATAAAAATGCAAGACATTAGACTATATAATTATAACAACTGCTTTGTTTTATTTGACAATTGTGCTAAATATACTTCCACCCACTCTCTCTTTAGTTTTTGTTTCTTTTGCTTGTCATTAGTCAACTAGATATTTTCAAAAAATTATATAATTGACATTTTAAAAAATTATTATATGAGAATTTTGCTTTGTGTTCTCATACCTATGACAAGAATGATTTTCGGTCGAGGTCTAGAAGGATCAAAAACCTCATACTCCTCAATTAACTCTGCAGTCTCAGAGAGATCCGTGTCGCTTTCTATGGAGAATTGATGGATTGGAGGGAGCCGATCATATCGCCGATACGAAAAGTTTGAATTTTCAGGCATCACTGCAAAAGAGTAAGATAACTTTGAAACGGAAAAAAAAAAGCCTAGGAAAGCATTTCTTATACTTAAAATTTGTAGAAGAAATTTTAAAACTAGATGAGTCTCAAATTTTTTTTTTTTCCTTCTTCATCTGGAGGAAGACTCCCTGGGAGTTTAATTAGTAAACTTTTTCATACAGAATCAAGCAGTAAATATTTTAGGCTTTGTGAGCCATCCATTTGTTGCTAGCATGGTCATCCATGGAAGCCTGAACACAGCCATAAACAATATATAAACCCATAGGCATGTCAATGGTTCAATAAAGCTTTATTTACAACATGAAATCATTACAAAAGTGTGGCCTGGGCCACACTTGGTCCATGAGCCCATGCCCTAGGGGAACCTTCTCAAGTACTGCCTAGTATTGCTTGGACAGGTTGCAACCACCCTGTTCTCTGTGAATAGGACTCCTGAGGTTTGTGCAGTACACAATCTTCACAGCCATATGCAGCTACCGTGGAGTGATGAGTATACAAAATTTATTTCATTCATTAAACAAATACAGATCCAGGAACTCTAGTGTGGCCCAGTAGAAATACTCAATGGCATGAGGCACAAAAGATTAGGGTAATCTCACAAGTCAGTTATAAGGGTAGCAGAGAATTTCTGTATTTAGAATATTTTTCAATATCACTGAATTTTACTTTCTCAATACTAATTATCTTTGACTTAATTAAAATATACAAACAAGACTAAGGTTCATATTACATATTTGCCATTTATTATCAGACATGTTAGTGTGTTGAGGGTGTTTTGATGGAAAAATAAGATGTAATCTTGTTCCCTAACAGCTCGCATATTGGAATTTACATACTTACGTCTGACGCTATATGCCCAATTGTTGCTGCTGTTGTTAAGTGCCATCGAGTCAGTTCCAACTCACAACCAAGCAACGACCTTGTGGTTCAGTGCTTATCCTACAGTGCCACAGGATTATATACTACTAAGTGCTAAAATAAGGAGCTCTGGTAGCGTAGTGGTTACGAATTGGGCTGCTAACCTCAAAGTCAGCAGTCTGAAATTACTAGAGGCTCTGTGGGAGAAAGATGAGGCATTCTGTTCCCGTAATGATTTACAGCCTCGGAAACCCTGTGCATGGTCACTATGAGTCAGAACCGACTCCACAGTACTTAACAACAACAAGTTCTAAAACAGACTCCTGGTGTGGTCATGTAGAATAAGCACTAGACTGAAAGGTCAATTTGAACCGCAAGGTGCTGGTTCAAACTCAGCAGCTCCTCGGAAACCCTATACAGGGCTGCTATGAGCCAGAACTGACTGGATGGCACCTAACAACAACAACAAATGTTAAAATAGATACCTCTCATGGTGAATACCATAGGAGTTCAATGAATGGGTAGGTCCATTTGGGCTGAAGTGGTTAGGAAAGTACTTAAAGAAGTGACAGAACCTGAAATTTGAAAGAAAATTGCAGCTGATGAAATGTGGGAAGTTTATGGCAGCTGGGGAATAGCACAGGGACTCCAAGTCATAAATACAAGTGGCATGTTCAAAAAGACCAGAGGACAGACCAGAGGGCAGATGGTCTCAACCTTCTGGCAAGTTCATGTCTTCCTTCTGTGTCATTATGCCAAAAAAGACAGAGAAGCTCTAAGTACTCAGAAGGCCCTAGTACAAGGGAAAGAGGGAGTTATTTGGCCTTTCATGAAGGATTTGGCTAAAGGGACTATTGTATCTTAGCATGGCCTAATGCTGCCATCTGTTCCCCTGGATATTAGCTTAATAGGACTTTCCATTCTTTCTTGTTCCAAGAAATTAGGCCACTGATTGCTGACACTCTGGCCTCAGTTAAAGGAATGGAGCAGTCTGCAGATAGTATGAATATTTTTTAGAAAATACTGGCAAGAGTTACAGCAAGGAAGGCACTGACAACAGTATTCTGCTTTGCCTTTAAATTACACATTTTGCCCAATACAAACCAAAAATACTGGCATTTACTTATTACCCTTCTTCTCTAACCCTTCACCTCTATTCCCATATGCATTTCCCACAAAACATATCCCAAATGCATACGTTGGTCTCTGTCTCTGCTACCATAAATTGTTCCCCAAACTGCCATCACCTTTTTCTGAGTCAGCCTGTTTCCACACTTGTCTTCACAATCCACTTCCTGAGATGTGCTTCCCCTGATAGTCCCGTGGCTGGATGCTTCTTATCTTCCATGTATCACCTCAAATGCCACCTCCAATTTTCCTGGTTTTCTAATCTAGTGTAGCCACCAACTTAATGTCAAGGACATCACTCTAATGATCTGCTTATCACCTACCACTCCACCATTTGATGATTTTTTCATTCATTCATTCATTCGTCTTCTCCCATTTGAATATAAGTATCATAAAATCTGGACTCCTATGGGTTAATGCGCTGGACCGCAAAGTTGGTTTGAACTGCAAGGATGACAGTTGAAGCTCACCAGCTGCTCCTCAGAAACCTATACATGGTCACTATGGGTTGTAACTGACTCAATGGCTCTTAACAACAACAACAATCATAAGATATGGGTTGTTACCTATTACCTGGAACTCCATATTCAACGTTCTAAAAATTTTCTGGACACATAGTTGGTGTCAATATCTTTTGAGGTAATAATGGAAAGAAGAGTCTTGTAAAATAGACAGTTTTTTTGTGTGTGTGTGGAAAAGAACCAGAAAATAGGACAGGCAAGTCATGTGGAGCACAATGTGGAAAACCTTGCACACAAAGGCAAAGGGTTTACTTTTAACCAGTGGAAAGTTACTAGGAGTTTTTTGGGCTAGGGGAATAACATGATACAATATATATTTTAAGAAAATTCATCTAGTAGCAATGAGAACGGATTTGTGTAGGAAGACACTCGAAGCAGAAAGAGGAGGGGGTGAGAAATGAAGAGCTTAAATTTGAGCGACAGTAAGCTAAATTGGGAGTGTGGTGGCTCCATACAATAAGCACTAGACTGCAAACCACAAGGTCTGCAGTTCAAGTCCACCAGCCACTCCACAGGAGAAAGATGAGGCTTTCTGCTCCTTTGAAGATTTAAAACTCAGAAACCCTATTCAGGATTGCTATGAGTTAGAACTGACTTAATGGCACTTAACAACAATCACAACAAGGCTAAATGCACATGAGTAGCTGGATGCTGAAGATTTGGTTTGAAATATGAGAAATGAAGAGAAGGTAAGGTTTGAAATATGAGAAATGAAGAGAAGAGACAGTTTAAACACAATTCCAATTTCCAAGTCTAAAAGAATGATACGTGATATATTGCATTTCTTACAGTATCCACCCTCTTTTTCTGCTTCAAAAATAACCTACTCTGCATTTTTAACATATTTAGGTTCCCCAAACTACGTTATTTCAAAAACCAAGTTATTATGTGAAAATGCAGGATGACTATATCTTATCACAAAATGGAGGACGACTACATCATTACATAACTGCCAAATTACATTGTCACACAACTGGCGAACCACTGAAAATCATGGCCCAACAGAGCTGACACATAATCTTCACAGACAATATTACTCTCAATGATCATTACTGCCAGAAGCGTGTCATTAGTATGCAAGAGTCGGATGTCTGCAACTGTCATAAATGCTAACTATCAGCCACTGAAATAGTGAGTGAGGAGGAGCTGTACTGGCCTTCTCTCATTCCTGATCACATGACAGCCTCTTCTGCCTCAGGAACTTCTGTTCCGTGTTCTCTCTTAAGCTCCTTCATACTTCTCTGGTAACTACTCAGTCTTCTGTCTTTAGGTATTAACATATATGTCACTTCCTCCAGGAAACATTCCCTGAATCCCAGGCTAGGTTGAATCCATCACCCATGTTATGGCTCGTTCCATAATATACAGTATTTCCTAAAGCACCCTTTATGCTTATATTTTTAACGCCTGCCTTCACTGCTTGTCTGTAAGCTCCATGAGGGCAGGTTCCAGGTGTGTTCTTTTTTGTTACTACACCCTCAGTCCTAAAAAAGTGTTTTTATTACTGTTGTGTGCCACTGAGTAAGTTCCGAATCACAGTGAACCTGTACAGAGTTTCCGAGGAGCACCTGGTGGGTTTGAACTACCGATCTTGTGGTTAGCAGTCCAGTACCTATTCTATTCACACCAGTACTCCTTAGAAGAGTGTTGTTCTTAAGTGCCATCAAGTTGGTTCCAACTCAGTGACCTTGTATAGGGTTTCCAAGGAGTGGCTGGTGAATTTGAACAGCTAACTTTGCGGTTCAAACCGACCTTGAGGTTGAGTCCTTATCCTATGGCACCACATCAGGACTCCTAGAAAAGTGTTGTTGTTGTTGTTCAATGCTGTCAAGTCGTTTCTGACCCATAGCAACCATAGGATTTCCTAGGAGCACCTGGTGGGTTTGAATTGCTGACCTCCCAGTTCAAGCTGACCTTGCAGTCCAGTGCATTATCCTGCAGTTGTTGTTGTTAAGTGTCACTGAGTCGATTCTGACCCATAGTGACCCTGTATAGGGTTTCCAAGGAGCAGCTGGTGAGCTTGAACCACCAACCTTGCAGTTCAAATGACTTTGCAGTCTGACACATTAGCCCACAGCGCCACACCAGGACTCCACAGTAGTAATCAATAAGTCGTTATTTGTATTATTCAGCTGACTTCAACCTACTTCATGAAAATAGGAAAAGTGGACAAGCATGCCGATTTTGAAGTAAACATGCGTTGTTAGGCTTTGGACATGTTGAGTCTAAGATGAAAATGAAACATTCCATGGAAGAAGTTCTATGGACATTTGGAGCTATGGAACAGGAAATCATTTGTTAAACTGTACATGTGTGTATGTACAGCATTAACAATACATACACAGATGCTCATCTCAACTTGTAAAATATTTTAAAGAACTGTCTGCCAATAGTGAATCCTTCCTTTTACAATATTTTAAGGAATCCTGATGGCACAAGTGCTCAGTGGTTAAAGTGCTCAGTCACCAACAGAAAGGC